GAGCTGGAGAGCAGACTCCTGGGAGTAAGAGGTCATCCAGTAGTGATTATGGGAGACTTTAACGCGCGCGCCCACGCATGGGACCCTGGGCGGCCTAACAGGCGAGGAGCTATCCTTGCGAGCTGGATGGGGTTAATGGACTTGCAGATTATTAATGAGGGAAGTGAACCAACGTGCGTCCATCCGCGGGGTGTCTCATGCGTCGATATCACGATGGCGACTTCTAACGCGGCAAGGAGGATCTCGGCCTGGAGAGTCGAGGCGGGTCTGGAGTCCCTCTCGGACCACAAATATATTGTGATGGAGGTTGGGACTTCCTTGGTTGGGCCTACTATGGGGAGGACAGCGTTGAGAGCCTTCCCCAGATGGGCGGTCGGGAAAGCCGACCTAGACTTAATGGAGGCAGCGGCGGTCTTCACAGCGTGGGCCCACACTCCTGGCAACGGCACCTTGGAAGCTGAGAAGATAGACCGAGCGTTACGGGATATATCGGACACGGCGATGCCGAGGAGAGGAGCAGCCAAGAAGCCGACCACCTATTGGTGGAATGAGGAGATATCAGACCTGCGCCGAAAATGTAACGCGAGTAGAAGAAGGCTCACGCGAGCGCACGCGAGGAATAGGATACCTCCCGCAGACATTCAAACTTATTGGGATGAGCTGCGGGAGGATAGACGTAGGCTAAGAGTAGCGATCAAACGGTCGAAGGTGAAGCTGTGGGGTGAGCTCCTGAACGACCTCGACAGGGACCCCTGGGGCATGCCCTACCGACTGGTGCTTAGGAAGCTGCACGCGGGCGGCGCGTCGGTCGTGGAGGTGCTCCCTCCTGAGATAGTAGAGGAAATAGTAACGACACTATTTCCTGCGGACAATACCCCGCAGGATCCTGGGGTCCCAGTGGAATGGCACGAAAACATGGAGGTTACTCCAGTGGAAGTGTTGGAGGCTGGGACTAGGGTCAAGCTAGGGAAGGCACCGGGCCCGGACGGGATAACGGGGCATGTGGTGAAAAAGACACTAGAAAGCCTTGCCCCTCTGTGGGCGAGGTGCTTTACGGAATGTCTCAGGAGGGGGCACTTTCCACGGAAGTGGAAAATGGCGAGACTTGTATTAGTCAAGAAGCCGGGCAAGCCGGATCTTTCCCCGTCCTCGTACAGGCCATTGTGCTTGCTCAGCGAGGCGGGGAAACTTCTGGAAAGGGTTATCGTGCGAAGGCTCCAGATGTTTCTGGACGACACGGAGGGAGTGGCGAGCAGCCAATACGGCTTTCGATGACAGCGCTCCACCATAGATGCGATATGGTGTTTGAGGGAACGCGTCGAGCAGGGTACACGGGACGGGGGTGTCGTGGTCGCGGTGTCTTTGGACATCGCGAACGCGTTTAACTCCCTCCCGTGGCCCGTTATTAAAAGAGCTCTAGGAGAGAAGGATGTTCCGGGGTACATCCGGAACATCTTTCACGATTATCTCGCGGATAGGGGACTCTCATATGTAAATAGAAGAGACAGGCTAGTGCGAGAGGCTATGACGCGCGGAGTTCCGCAGGGTTCGGTCCTTGGACCGACCCTGTGGAACATAGGCTATGATACGGTGCTGAGGGCGAATATGCCGATTGGCTGCTCGGTACTGTGTTATGCGGATGACACGTTGGTGGTCGCGTGCGCTGCGTCGTTCGATGAGGCACGCATAAGAGCGGAGATGGGGGCCACTTTTGTCATGAGAATGATAGAGAGGCTAGGCTTAAAAGTGTCGATCTCAAAGACCGAGGCGGTGGCCTTTACGGCCGAGGAGATCCCGAGGGG